GTGTGATTTACTGGGGGCTAGTAAAAAGAACTAGCGAAAAAGAAAAATGCCCCCCCCTACACCGTTCGTTGGCCCCTCATAGCATTGACTACGATTCAGTTTTGAGAATTGGCGCAGGGCAGGCTGTCGCGCCATATGACTCAAAAATATTATATCTGTAAGAGAGACTGTACTGTTAGCTGTTTTGAACCACCATAAAAACTATTTTTTGCAGTAGATATTATTTTGGTTTTTCATTCCTATTCCAATTTTTACTTGTATTTTTCAGATATGTGTCACCTGAAATTATTCTGAACAAAGGTCATGATCAAGCCGCCGATTACTGGGCCCTGGGTAAGTTAACATTCATTTTCTTTTTTCGTTCTCCTAGAGGCTATTTGATATATAGTGTGCAATGATACATCAACTAATGTTCATTGAAATTGCTGTTCTTTCTGCGAACAAACCAGTTTCTGAGCGATCGCTGGGAAATTATTGATCGTGTCAAGCAGCAGTTGATGTATTGTCCAAAAACGTACGGAAAGGGAACTCATGGCAGTGGGGGGGGGGTGGGTGGTTTAGCAAAACCTCCTACAAAACAGTCGGCTCAGTTTGACCTTGCTTATTGAAGACACATTTCCGGTCAATCAATGGGTAAGGCTCCTTCCTTGTACAGTTAGTCCGTTCCGAAACCTCAGAGGTTGCTCATATTTGCAGCTCGACGATTATCGGTGGGGCGCTATGGTAGCCATAAACCAGAGGAACTCCACCCGCACAGAATTTGCTCCACCCGTTTGGGAAAGACATTTTGGAACGTGTGATCGCAGTCCTATGTCTATATACACAAGTTTGACGCCTTGAGCTGAGATGGCCCTTTGTCGTGTTGCTCGAATTCCTCATTTTTGGTCTCTGATCTCTCACCCCTGCAGCACTGTCTCGTTCCTCCGAATACATGTCCAATCCTGGGTATTATTTGATGAGCGTTCGGCTGCTTTGCCCACTCTTCTCTTCTCTGGTAGTTCAGTCAGCACCTGAGAGTTCTTTTTTCACTCCGAATCCCATAAATATTATTGCGGAATGTGTCTTTGATCCGAACCACCCACGAGACTTCGGCCTCCTTGGAGAGGGGCATTGAACCTCGGTACAGATTGAAATGCGCCACCTTGCTCCTTTCAACGCCATATCAATTAGTACCACTATTCGAAGATACATTCCGCGTTTACTTGAGAGGTGGGATCTCTTCCAATGTATAAGAACAGGGCACGTTATGGATACCCAGAGGAAGTGTCGTTTTTTGGTCGATGAAGGGTGGGAGGGGTCGCATGAGAGGAGGAATTTTTAGGGGGCCGTATTTCGCAAAAATTTTGCCAATGGCAAGGCGTGCTCTAATAAGAAATGCAGGTGTGCAGCCGCTTAGGTCGCCTTCGTCATGCGGAAGTGTGTGGAAACGGTGCTAAGGCCTTGCGATAACTAAAAACTCCACCAATGCCAAGTGAAGGTACTCGTCAACGCATGGCTGCTGATGACTTTTTCGCCCAGGTGTGCGCTTCTGGGTGGTTCTCGCTCGCACTTGTCTAGGTCTCTGCGTCTCCATTTGCCACATACTCTTTCAGTGATGGGAATCAACCGGGTCTCATTTAGGGCGTTTACAATGTTCCTGCTTTTTCTCCTTGATAAGTATCTAGCCATTCATCCTTGGGACCTCACTATCCACAGCTTACGATCGCGGAATGCCTTTAAGCACTCCTGCGTTTTAGCGTAGTTCTGCTTGTAAACTGTCTTTCTAGGGATCTATATATGCGAGCTCATGCTTGGACGGCCACCTTTCCAAGCCAGTGATCCTATGAAGACTTACACTCTCATCCTGAAAGGAGTGGACGCCCTTGAAATTCCGAATCGGTATGTATCAGAGTTTACTAATGAGCATTCACGCCTACTCCTATAAGGACCTTTTCAGCCGAATTGGAAAGACTGCAACTGCACTGGTGAAGAAGCTGTGCCGTGACAATCCTGGAGAACGCCTTGGATCTGGATCAGGTGGCGTGAATGATATCCGCAAACATCGGTGGTTCATGGGCTTCGACTGGGAGGGTCTGCGATCCCGTGTTCTGAAGGCGCCTATTCTTCCAAAGGTAATCGTCCATTGGAAACGCATAATACCAGTCTTTTATTCATGCCAACTTCAGGTGTCAAATCCAGCTGACGTCACTAACTTTGACAATTATCCCCCTGATCAGGACGTACCACCGGACGAGTTTTCCGGTTGGGACGAAGGTTTCTGAAAAACAGCAGCAGCAGCCGACTTTTCAATGCCTCCAATTGCGGTATATTGAACCGCCCGTGTACGTTTCACTGTTGTTCGTTTTATGAGATTTCGTATTTGTACATAATATTTATGATAGAAATGGCTGACTTTTATTTGTTAGTCTATACTTGTTATGATTGTCTGATTATTTCGCTTCTCTTCCGTGTAACCGTAGAATTCTAGTCTGGTAAATTTTCTAACGTTTTCTATTTTGATTACGTTTTATTTCATTGCGGTTCCTTGAGATTGTTATCGTTTTTCTGTTCGGACTTAAAGACACCGTTCGCAATTGCAAGGTGGGTGGAGCCACGGGGGTGACGTCATCGGCGGTACTCTTCTCCCGCCAACACCCTGTCCTCCCGCCTTCTTCATTGCCGAGAAAGATAGGATGGGGCGGGTCACGCCAATGACCTCCTTTCCTGTCTCCGCCCACCTATCTAACGCGAAATGTGTCTTCAAGTCAGAACACAACATCATCGTGAGCGTGCCCCTCCACCGTGGCTGTCTTTTTCTTCCCTTCATTTTTTTCATGCTCGTCGTTTGTCTTCTTGTTTCTTCTTATGTTGCTCTTTTGCTGGTCATTTTCTTGATTATCATCACTGTTGCGTAATCTGCCATCATCATGTCGTTGCGCGCGTTTGATACTGATTTTCTATACCCGGTAGTGGCATTGGGCGCGTTTGTCCTTCCTCTCGTTGTTTTTTCTTCTTGTTTTTGTCGTGTACTACGCAAAGAGTGTGAATATCACCTCAGTTCTCTATTTAACTAATCACACGTGTCCAGCCAAATGTACACTCAGCAGTCGCTTTTCAAACTTAATAAAATTCTATGACATTGTTCGTGGTATTTTGGGTGCTGTTCTGCTGGGGGTTCTTGGGGGAGGGGGATGGGAGGGAGGGGGATGGCGCTGGGCACGCTCGCTAGTTTCCTTTACTAGTTATCGCTCGCTAGTTTCTTTTACTAGTTACTGTTGTATCACACGTTTCACCGTGGTGAGACCTGTAGAATTTTTCTCAAGTGCAAACGAAGCACAATCTAGGCTCAGTTTGGCAACGGGGGGGGGGGGGCATTTTGCACTTTTGTTGCTTCACTAGTTCTGGTTTACAAGTCTCACTCTGGTGAAACCTGTGAACTCTTGTGAAGCTGGAGCAAGCTCGTCAAGCCATCATGGTAAAACCTGTCAACTCGAGAAGAGGCTGTCTGGTCGACACGTCGATGGGAAGTAGCGAAAGTGCAAAATGCCCCCCCCCCCTGCCGAACAGCGCCCACAAGCTATTCCCCTATGTGACAAGACAATCGCTAAGTGTCGCGTTGGTGGGCGTGGCAAGCGACGCCGCGCATGACGGACGAGTTATCCTGTCTGGCCATTTGAATTCGAGCGCTAAGGGACGCAGGGAGGGCGAAAAAATCCGATATCGCTCGTCACGGAGTGTTGTCTTCGCTTGAATTCATGCGAGTTTCGCTACTCGAACCGAGACAAACTGGTACGTTGTCGCACGATACGCCGCGCGCGACGACGCGACAATTTGCCACCGTCTTGTTCGCCTTCCCATTCCCTTGCTTCACAGGTATTTACATATCTCCAGAGGAGGCATCGGCAGTGCTCAGTGGAACCACCATGATGCCCCCATCAAACCGAATTGTAGCATGTTTTGTTAGTGTCTCTCCCCGATGCTTCTCGCTTGAAGCGCTTCCCATGCATCTTCATTGGCGAGGATGGGCGATCCACATTTCGGCTCTTCGGCATTTTGTAAATTGGCTGGCATTTCTCAGCTGGTCACACTCAGTGTAGCACTTCTATGTTAAATTAGTTAGATCCAAGGGCAAACGCCGCGCACGTGACTTCGTCGAGTTGCCACGCAACGGGTCTCCCCGCTGTTGTTAAAATCGATTTAATTAGAAGGGTAAGATCTTCGTTCATACCAGTGCACTCTTTGTCATTTTCACGCGCAGTGCGCGCGTACGGTCACTTTTTGGACCAGTTTTGACCCATAGAAATTCGATTTCCTCTTCGGACCAAGTAACAGGCTC